TCTCTCTCTCTCTCTCTCTCTCTCTCTCTCTCTCTCTCTCTCTCTCTCTCTTCCCTCACCCTCCCTCTCCCTCTGCTTCTCCCTCTGTCTTTCCCTCTAGGGATTGAACCCAGGGGTGCTTTATCACTGAGTCACATCCCCAGCCTTTTTTATTTTTCATTTTGAGATAGGGTCTTGCTAACTTGTTGAGGCTGGCCTTGAGCCTGCAGTCCTCCTGTCTCAGCCTCCTTAGTCACTGAGATCACAGGTATGTGCCTCTGCACCAGACTCTTCTGTTTTAGTGCCCTAGGTCTGACCTTTGCCCTATCTGTCACTGTTGAATGCTGGAGAGGACAGTAGGGCTCTGTGAACTTTTGTTTTCAAGACATCGGAAGTGGGCTGAACCAGCGGAGGCGGTCAGATTCTGACTGGCTGCTATAGCTTATCAAGACACATCAAAGGCCAGGAGGGGAAGACAGGTCAACAGATGAGGCAAGCCTCTTTGGGGACACACTTTCACACTGCAGTCGGCACTTTCAGCTTGCTCCCATGCACTCTTCCTCCAGCCCTCGAGGCCCAGCAGCCCGCCCTGCCTCTGTGTTCAGCCTCCTGGGCCTCCAATGAGGCAAGCTCTAGGGGCGCATCCAGCCTTCATCCTGATGCTCCACGAGTATTTGAGTTCTTATCCTAGGTAAGGGACGGTGCTAGGGTTCGTTTCTAAGGACAAACTATACAAAGACCCCTGCCAGAGGAGCCAGGGTCCCCCCTCAAGGCAGTGCCCTTTACCAAGGGCGGAAGGGACCTATCAGGAGATTCCCACGGGCTTGGAAATGGCTCTTGGTCTGTACAGCTCTCCTCCTGACCTGGGAGTCAGTTCACATGCTTGGGGATGAGGGTGGGAAAAGAGAACCCTCATTTAACATTGTGTAAGGTTCCAAGACCAGCTGGATCCAGCAACCTTTACCTTTCCAGGGAGTTTCTGTTATTAAATCGAATGCAACAAAATGGCACAAATGAACTTGGCAGAGGCGCAGGGAGAGTTGTTACATTGTTTGCTTGCTGTGTGTACCAAGCTTTCAAAGCGGTTTCCTGAACCCCCATTTTGGGAGGCACCGTGTGGGTTAGGGAGCAGGAACATGGGGAGACCACGTGGGTACAGAGTGAAGAGCGAAATGACAAAAGATGATTACGAGGGAGTAAACTTGGCCGCACATCACTCCTCCCAGGTCAGGGGAAGAAGGACAGTCGCTGCTGGCAGGGACAGGCACCCAGTGACAAGACATCCACATTCCCCAAGGAGAGAGAAAACATTCTTTCAAGTGTCCATCTCTTCACCCTGAGGTGCCACCAGTGAGCAATGTGGGTCCTACACAGAACATGAGGGAACAATAGTGGGAACAGAGGGTGTCCCAGGCACGGCACGGCTCACTGGGGAGGGAATGAATAGAAAGACCCAGAACCTGGCTCAGCAATTGGACTCAGGAGAGTGCAGGTCTGTCATAGGAGGATTTGTAAGAAGGGACTGGAGCGGTCAGAGGAAGTCCAGCAAAGTTTGCAATGCTGAGCAGTTTGAGTTGGAGCTTCCTCAAAAGAGAATGGCAATCGATCAGGTTGGGGACCTTTGGAGAAAAGACGGAGAGGATCAGGTGGAGCAAGATGTGGCTATAGGTGCAGCATCATTTGGGATAACTGCCCAGAAAAAGAAAGCACAAGGCAGCTTGTCAGGACACAGAGAGAAGAGGAATCTGAAAGAACTGTTGCAATGTAGGTGCTGGGGAAAATATGTTTGTTGGGGACAGAATTCAGCAGGAGACTCAAAAGGATGGAGTTATCCCAGGAAAAGCTCACCCCTCGACTTTCCTCTTTTTGACTCTCCCAGGTATAAAAGCCTGCTGCGAGAGGAAGAGGAGAAAGAGGTCCAGTTAGACAAGGCTCCATCTGCTCCTGAGACCCAGCCGATTTGACAAGTCATCTGTCTACCTCCAGGAAAAGGCAAGAGACCAACCTTCGCCCGTGCTCAGGGAAAAGCCTGGTGAGGTCAGATGGCCTCTCTGGGAAGAGATGGGATAGAAGGAAGGACTGTGGATCACTCGTGAAGAGCGGGCAGAGTGTGGGGTGGAAAGAGGTCACGGAGTGGGAAAGAGGCCAGAGCGTGTCTGTCGGAGAGATGGTGCTGGCGAGGGTCTGTGGGGCATCTCCCATGTGTCTCGTCTCTGCCTGCCAGATCTCAAACACTGAATGAGACATGCAGATGGGCCAAGGAATATGTTACCAGGACTAGGTGGAGGTCTCGGGTTTTATTGTATTTTTAAATTAAAACAAATTTGATTTTTAGGCTGGGATTGAACTCAGGGACTCACACCTGCTAATCACACGCTCCACCCCTGGGTCACACCCCCAGCCCTTCACATTATATTTAATTAATTTATTTATTTAGGCACTGGGGATTGAACTCAGGGATGCTTTACCACTGAGCTACATTCCCAGGCCTTTTTATTTCTTACTTTGAGACAGGGTCTCCTTAAGTTGCTGAGGGCCTTGCTAAGTTGCTGAAGCTAGCTTCAAATTTGTGATCCTCCTGTCTCAGCCTTCAGAGTCACCAGGATTACAGGTGTGAGCCACTACACCCAGGTCCTCGGAGTTTATTTTAAATGCCACCTTGAATGATAAATTGAGCAGATTTAAGGTCACTCTTGATTTACTTGTACACATGCTTTCCTTAGGGATCAAGAGAGGGTGTTTGCAGTGGCATGCTGGGAATCGTGGTGGTTCTGGGGAATCATGGGCTAGGTGTGGTGCACGGGGAGTGAAGGCCATGCTGAGTGGGGTCAGTGACTTTCCCAGAGCCTAATCTGAGGCATGGCTGGGACAGCAATCCTGGTGACCTGGCCCTGATCAGGCCCCTTCCATTTTTCCAATTAAACCCCCAGGCTTTCTTCGATAGGCTCCGCTTGGAATGGAGAAATTGGGCATCTGCCGCTTACCTGGGGCTTAAACTGTTTTCCCAAATTTGTTTAACCAAATTTGCACTTTCAAGGGTGCCATTGAGGAACTTGAGTTCCACACAAGGACTTGGGGAAAGAAGAGAAACAAGGATAAAGATAAGGAAAGACAGAACCTCAGATAGGCTGAGTAAAACTGGAGTAGAATTTGAAAACTCAAGACAGTCTTGTCCTGCTTCTTCATGATGAAGCCGCTTTTCCTTCCTCTCTGTTCACAGACCCATTCATCATCCCCAGATATTTGCTGAGCACTTACTATGCAATGGACACAGTTCTAGGTACTAAAGACACAATGGTGGGCAAGACAGATAGCATGCCTGCCCTCATGAAGTGCCCTTTCTAATAATGCCTATAATCCCAGCAACTCGGGAGGCTGAGGCAGGAGGATCACAAGTTCAAGGCCAGGTGCAGGGACACCCTGTCTCAAAATAGAATAAAAAGGGCTGGGGTGTAGATCAGTAGAGTGCTTGCCACATGTGTGCAAAGCCTTTGGTTTGATCCCCAGTGCTGGGGGGAAAATCGTAGGGACCTAGTCCCCCCAACCCAGCTTTTTTTTGGTGGGTGGGGAGTGGGATAGAGAGGAGGAAGGTGCTAAGGAAGTAATTTGATAGGGAAGCAATGTGGCCTTCTTTCTCCACCACCCAGAGCGAGCAGAACAAATGTCATTGGAAGGGTTGGTTTTAATTGCTCGGTGCGCAGGGTCTGACTACTGCAAGGAAGTTGATAATGGATTCGCCTTGGTTTGAGACTGATCCCATCAGGAGCCAGCCTCTCTTTCCGTCTTTTCAGGAAGGATGGCCCCAGAGCCCCGGAGCGTGGGACTTCTCTTCATTTACTGCATATCTTTTTTCTTTGGTCTCCCCGCCAACCTCCTGGCCCTGCGCGCCTTCGTGGGGCGGGTCCGCCAGCCGCATCCCGCGCCCGTGCACATCCTGCTGCTCAGCCTGACAGTGGCCGACCTCCTGCTCCTGCTACTGCTGCCCTTCAAGATGATTGAGGCAGCCTACGACTTCCTGTGGCCCCTAGGGAATGCCCTCTGTGCCCTCACGGCCTACGGCTTCTACAGCGGAATCTACTGCAGCACGTGGCTCCTGGCGGGCATCAGCATCGAGCGCTACCGCAGCGTGGCCTTCCCGGTGCAGTACAAGCTGTCCCGCCGGCCCCTGTACGGCGTGATCGCCGCCCTCGTCTCCGGCATCTTGTCCTTTGGACACTGCAGCATTGTGATCATTGTCCAATACCTGCCAACCCACAACGTGAGTGACGCCGAGAGCCTCCCGGTCTGCTACGAGAACTTCACCAAAGAGCAGCTGGACGTGGTGCTGCCCGTGCGCCTGGAGCTGTGCCTGGTCCTCTTCTTCATCCCCATGGCCGTCACCACCTTCTGCTACTGGCGCTTTGTGCACATCATGCTCTCCAGACCCCAAGTGGGGACCAAGAAGCGCTGGAGGGCCGTGGGGCTGGCCGCTGTGACCCTCTTCAATTTCCTGGTCTGCTTCGGGCCCTACAACGTGTCCCACGTGGTGGGGTTCTTCCAGAAGAGCAGCCAGAATTGGCGCGCGTGCGCCGTGCTCTTCAGCGCTCTGAACGCCTGCATCGACCCCTTGATTTTCTACTTCTCCTCGGCCGCCGCGCGCAGGGCCTTTGATAGGGAACTGCGGAGGCTGCAGACCTGGGGCGCTTCCCTGTCTGCCGAGTGGAGAAAAGCCAGGGAGGCGGCCGCAAAGAAAGGGAAGGCGAGTGCAGGCATGGTCAACGACAGCTTCACCGGAGAATAGGTGGTGTCGCCTTTGGGGGAGGGGGCTCCAAAAGGGAGACATTGAGTCAGAACTGGGTGAGTTCTCCTGCGCCCCCCTGAACAGCCAAAGAGAGTCACAGGCACCTCAGCCCCAACTCACCCAATGAGTGTTTTCATTTCCTTCCGTGGGGTTGGTGACATTTCCTACAGTAAGCCACAAGCCCTTGCATCCTGGGACATCAGAATCCTGGATTCCTTATCTTCACCACTCAGTATCTAGAAGGTCGTGGCATTTACTCACCTACCGCAGAGCTCTCATCTCTGACCGTGGCCCTGATCCAGAAGAGGGGATCCCCAGGCTGGGTGCACATCTCAGCATGGGCAAGTCTGCAATGCAAGGTGGGCACCTGGAGGTTCCCCACCAGCAGCCCAACCACAGCAGGTCTGCCGCAGCAAGAGCAAGAAAAAGTGACCTGCGGGGACTCTTGGCCTGAAGAAGCCCAGGTCGGGGTTCTTTGCCAAGTGCTTTCCTTTTATGTTTTCTTCTTCTTTTTTTCCCTAATCCATCTTGCCAGAGATCTGTCATTTATATTCTTTAGAAAGGCAAGACCCTTTCCAGCATTCTCTTTGTTGTCTATCTCATCAATCTTTATTCCTATTTATTGTGCTTTCTTAGATCTTTTTTAGTAGCTTCAGTTTTTTTTTTCTTTTTTAACTTGGGGGTTTCATTAACTTCACTCTCTCTTCCTAACAGATCCTCATGTAAGTGTCTAAGTTCATAGATTTCCCTGTAAGGACAGCTTAGAACAGATTTTGATTTGCAGAATTTTTATTAGTTTGAGGTCTGTGTCAGTTCTAATTTCCGAAGGACGTTTTTCTTTGGCTGTTGAGTTTAGAAATGTTTCTTTGTTTTTAGGCATGTGGGTTTTTACCCCGGGCTCTCCTTTCGTTTCTGACTACGTTGCCCTGCCGTCAGAGGATATTATTGAAATGGGTCCAGTTCTTGGAAATTTGTTGATTATTCCTTTTACTCCCAGAAAAATAATCAGTTTTGAAAAGAAGACAGATTCTACAATCAATGGGTTCTGTCTGGGTTTTATACACTTCAGATTGAACTTGTCAATTTGTGGTGTTCAAAGCTTTATAATCTTTACATTCTTTTTTGTTGGTGGTGTTTTGGTTACCAGGGATTGAACCCAGGGGTGCTTAACCACTGAGCCACTTCCCCAGTCCTTTTAAAAAATATCTTATTTAGAGACAGGGTCTTGTTGAGTTGCTTAGGGCCTTGCTAAATTGCTGAGGCTGGCTTTGAACTTGAGATCTTTCTACCTCAGCCTCCCCAGCCGCTGGGATTACAGGTGCACACTACCACACCCGGCTGCCTTTACATACTTTTTTGTCTATTCGATCTATCAGTGACAAGGAGAGGGTGTGAGGTGCTTTTCTAGATGGTAAATTTGACTATTTTCTCCTGGTAGTTCTGTCTTGCTGGTGAATTGAAACTTTGAGCATATTTTTTGCCTTAAAATTGATTTTGTCTGATATTAATAGAGCCACACCGATGTGTTTTGAGGTTGCTATTTGCTTGCTACATTTTCACCCATCCTTTTATTTGTAACATTCTATATTCTTGTTTTAGATGCATCTTTTATACATGGTACGTGGAGTGGTTGGATTTTTTGGCAATCTGGTCTTTCAACTTGACACTGTGTGTCATTTAACTATATCATTTTGTTTATTTATATTTATGTAATAATAATTTTTCAATATATTTTGGATTATTTCTGTCAACCTATTTTAAAATGTTTCATCGAAGTACACACACATATTGATATATACACGTACATTGCACAGGGCCAAATGATAAGCATGCAGGTCAAATGAATTATCACAGAGTGAACTCACCTATTTAAATTTAAAAAAAAACATGAAATATCTACTTATGCTCTTTGTTTTCCGTGAGTTTTAATATTTCTGTTTTCTTCTCTCTGGCCTTCTTTGGGGACTGAGGGGTTTTGTTTGTTTGTTTTCTTTTCTTGCTTCATTTCTTGTTCTCCACTAACTTGGAGAGTATTTGCTGTGTTCGTTTAGACATTATAATATGCCAGGATTTCTCAGTCAGTCCTTCCCTTCCTTCCTTCCTTCTTCTCTTTAAATATCATATATTAAAGAAAAATCAATGCCAGATGGTTTTGAACTGTGTCAGTCAATTGCAGGAGTTATAGAGTGTGGTCTGGAGACCCTTTCAGAGGTCTGGGAGCTCAAAGTTATTTCCATAATGATGCTAGCATGCCAATTTTTGTTTTTCCACTCTCATTCTTTGACGAGTGATGTGCAATGGAGATTTTTAGATTAGTCTAAAATGCAGACTAATGCAGGACGCATGGAAATACAGCTGTCTTCCAGGAAGTCAGCCCTTAGAGAGATCTGCAAAAATGTAAAAGGACGCCACCCTTCTCATTAATTTTCTGAAAATATCATTATTTTTGTTAAAATGTGTTATTGTGTATGAATGTGTACTGGTTTTATGATTGCTATTATTTTTCAATAAATTCATACATGTTTTAATTTTTTTCTCTCTTAATTTTTTAATTTGGTGTATACCAATTAAATAATTCCAATAATTTTTTGAAGTATAAAAGGGCCCTGAGGGCTGGGGCGTAGCTCAGTGGTGGAGCGCTTGCCAAGTATGTACAAAGCCCTGGGTTCCACCCCTGGCACTAGGGAGAATAAAAGCCCTCAGATGTTTGAGAGTTGCTCATCTAATGAGATCCTAGATGTGTTTGTCAGCTCGTTGTCAGTGTGACTAAAATACGAGACAAGAACAACTTAGAGAAGGAAGAGTTTATCTATTTGGGGCTCATGGTCTCAGAGGTCTCAGTCCAGGATCATCCACAATCTGCCGCAGTCCGGCTGCAGCAGAATAAGGGGGGGGGTGTGAGAATAACTTGTGTACGTTGATGCAGCAGGAATGGAAGCCGTTTATTGTAGGACAACAGAGCTATTTATACATTTTGCACAGCTTATCT